ATACATGCATGCAGAAACCCTCGCCTTGCTGACAAAACCGTTGTATTTTCCGAACATGAAGTATCTAAAGTAGTTGTCATGGTAACACGATGATTTTTTAAGAATATTCTTACAAATGAAAATCGCCTAAAAATATCACTTTTAATTACAAAATTATCAATTTTCCAACATATTTATGTTAGGTATGTAATTATAGATAGATAGATAGATAGATAGATGAATCGTTTATTAAATCAATTATTGCAGTCCAATGACTGAATTACAATTGGTTGTTATAAAATTTATAAATTCATAGTACTAATGTTCAAAAAAAAATGTTATATATTTACATATACATTCAAATATTTAAAATAAGTTCGTTTTTATTTCCTTTCGTGATGCGTACTCAAGGATAAAAGAGTCCTTAAATCTATTTGTCCTAATCGTTGGGAGATTATATTTCTTAATTGTTCTGAAGTTATAACCAGCCTTATTCATTTCTGGTAAAAGTCCGTGAAGTTTGTGATCTTCATTTTCTTCAATTTCACGAAACAGTTTTTCACATAGTTTCTCTCTACGGTCGTTTAGTCTTTCTAGGTTTCCCATTTCCAACGCTTCACTATAATCCACGTAAGGGTAAATAATTCTTAGGGCTCTTTTCCTGACGGTCATCATGGACGGTCATCATCCACGGACGGTCAGTACCATGCACTTTGATAGATCTTTCTGGCATAATAGTGTTCAGTCCGTAGTTTACTATGTCGGTAAAAATTGTGAGTTTTTCACAAGGAAATTGAACCGATGATAAAATATCTTCAAATGGAACGTTCTGGAAAAACCGGCCTAGACTGGAGATATTACTTCTTATTTTATCGCGCACTTTTATTATTTTCTTTTCGGACACTGATTTTTGTCGTATAGCTGGGAAAATAGTAATTGTGAGATGGTCGGATAATCCAAATGGACATCTTCTATTTGGAGCCATGTAAAAATCTTGTAAATTTGTAAAAATCTGGTCAAGGATGTTATTGCCTCTAGTAGGGAAGTTTATAATAGGTTTTAGATGGAAGAGCTTTGCTGAAGAATTAAAACAAAGTTTGTTAAAATCACCACCTAGGATTATAGCGCTGTTCGGGTAATTTGATTCGATAAATTCTAATGAGTTTTTAAGATATTCTTTCATTGAGATATTGTTGGTATCAGGAGGATGATAGACAACTGCAGCTATGATATGTGAGAATCCTCGAGGCAGGCGTTTTGGCCGCAAAAGGCACCATAAAACTTCGTGGTCGTCGTTGTAAAGATCAGTTAAGATCTTACTTTCAATACTGTTTTTTACGTACAAACAAACTCCTCCGTGGAGTCTATTTGTACGATCTCTTCGAAACAATTGATACCCTTTTATGTTAATTGGATCATTTGCAATAGATTGTCTTAACCACGTCTCTGTTATAAAAACTATGTCTAAATCTTGCTGTATTATTGTTAGCGCAATCTCGTCGATCTTTGGGACCAGTGACATTACATTAGATAGTAGACATGAAGGGACAAAATATAATTTATTCGGACAGGACAAGGGAGTTGTGATTTGGGGGTTGTGTGGCACATGGGAGGTGGGTGATTTATCTACATTCCCCAGCGTGGTGCGTGGATAGGTGGGTGGATTGGGACTTGCAATAATGGTTGGGGAGGGTATGTTGTACGTATCATCCTCAAGGGAAGTGGTTTGGGGTTGGACGGGGCACTCTGGAGCCCACCAAAAAAAGCAGGTGGAACAGTTTGGTGAGAGTTTGGTCGTAAATAGGTATAGCGGGGTAGAATATTGTGAGAAAAGTCACAGAACGAGCCTTTTTTACACCTTCCTTTCTTTTGTAAGAAGGGGCACGGTACCAGGTGTTTTGGTGGTAGGGGATTATTATAAAAAGGTTTTCCGTTGTGGAAAAAATCACAAAAATTGCCTTTGGCGCACCAGCCGCGTTTACGAAGAAACGGGCACGGGATGGTATGCTTTGGAGGTTGTTGTATAGAACTTAAGTCAGGGTGAATTGTGTTTTTATGGTGTTTAATCTGTGGATTGACGGCTGTGATATCGTCTTGTTTATTGCATGTAGCATTGTTCTCTTTATGTGTTGGTAAACTTTGTTGATGAATCTGAGGGGTTTGGGGGTTAATTGGACTTGCATTGTTTATAGTTGTATTTTTGGAATAATTATTAGGAACGCTAATGATGTTAGTAAGGCCATTAATGTTATTGGTTGCAGCAGTTCTGATGATGGTCTTGCACAATCTCGTTCCCCGAGCCTGCGATCCTCGGGAAGGAATCGAAGGCTCTGGGATAATCCGTTACCGGAAGCCAAGAATCATGGCTAAGATTGAACTACGCATTCCATATCAATGGCCAATCAGATTCCTCCCTGAAACGGATTATCCCAGAGCCTTCGGTTCCTTCCCGAGGATTGCAGGCTCGGGGAACGAGATTGGGTCTTGCCGGTCGAATTATTTGAATATTGATCTTTAGCATTATCGCTAATAGATTCGCAAACTGAGTTTACTTCGTTAGTTGAGCTACAGGCATTGTTCTTCAAATCATTAATAGATGCACTGAGATTTGTCATTTCAAGCGATAACAATTTTGACTTAATAAGTGTATTGTCTTCGTACAGTTTATTTATTACTTCGTCCTGTTTACGAATTATAGCCTCTAAATCTTTTTGTTTACAGCGGAGGGAATTTATTTCTATGGTCATTTCATCGGGAGAGATTATAGAACCCAAATGCGTCTCGAGAATTACCATGTCTAACTTTAGACCCTCCAAATCTGTTACAACAGATTTACAAGAGCGGTTACAAGCGCTTGAACGTACCTCAGGCGTCATGGCGTCTTTAGTTGTTTCTTTACTTCCTAAACCCAATGTTGACTCTTTAATTCCCAAACCCAGCGTTGCCCGACATTCCAACTTCAATTTTAAAGGGTGATCGCAGTTGTCTGTAAGGGTTATAAGTTTCTTGGAGCGAGGACCATACCATTTAATGATTAGATCAGAATCATCATCCTTAAAAAGTTTGACGTCGCCGCCTGGTGAAGTCCATGTCCCTTTAGCGTTTAGCGTTTTCACGACAAAGGTCTTTAACTTGCTCAAAGAGCCAGTCCATCGGTAAATTTCGCCATCGTACTTTAATTCGTTCACTATATTCATGTTTGTCTTTGTAGTAATAAAGGATATATCTCGCCAAGTTTACACACTTTAAAATATTTATAGCGATAGTCAGAGCTTTCTGTGGCGCGATAGTCAGAGCTTTCTGTGGCGTGATAGTCAGAGCTTTCTGTGGCGCGATAGTCAGAGCTTTCTGTGGCGCGATAGTCAGAGCTTTCTGTGGCGCGATAGTCAGAGCTTTCTGTGGCGTGATAGTCAGAGCGTTCTGTGGCGTGATAGTCCGATACACCAACCAAGAAAATAAAATCACTGTATGAACTACAGGGTGTCCCAAATAAAACGAAAACTATTGAAATCACCAATAACAATTTAATTGTTAGAATTTGAATGCCTTAGCGCTCTGTTGGTTCCCACGAGTGCATAAATGATTGACATAAGTAAATTTTATGGATAAAGAAACTGTTTAAGAAGTTGTTTTTAATTCCCAGGAGCAGAAAATCGCGCACTTTATCAGGAGATATTCCTAACTAAATTCTAATACATGCACCTTGTCAATATTTTACGCATCATTACGTCCAGCTGTTTGGTAGGGCATTCAAATTTAACAATAAGTGATTTCAATAGTTTTCGTTTTTTTTGGGATACCCTGTATATCAATTGTCACAATTCATTAAGGAAGCTACTCGGGTAACCATGACAACCTCCAACCTCATTGATCATATAGTTACTAATACACCAAAGAAAATCTCAGATTCTGGTGTCATTCATACAGGAATCAGTGATCATAGTTTGGTATTTACCATCAGAAAAATCCATATTTCTGAGAAACAAGATGAAAACATAGTGGAAATTAGAAATATGAAAAACTTTGATGACAAAAAATTTGTTGAAGATTTACTTAATCAGCATTGGGAATATGTATACTTCTTCGCTGATAATCCAAACACTATGTGGGAGATTTGGAAGAAATTGTTCGAGGAAGTACTAAATAAGCATGCACCCATTCAACAAAAAAAGATCAGATAAAAAAAAGTGCCTTGGATTACTAGTGAAATCAAAAAGCTTATAAATACGAGGGATAGATCTAAGAGAAAAGCCATTATTAAAAACCTTGAAGCAGATTGGTTGGTGTATAAACAAACCAGAAATAAAGTAAATATAGAAATGAAAAAAGCCAAAAAGGATTATTACTCCAAGAGAATTGCTGGTCAAAAACAAAATCCAAAGGAGGCTTGGAAAACAATGAACAACTTACTAGGCAGACAAAACAAACCAACAAAAGTAAATGAGTTGAGTATAAGTGGAAATAATTTAACAAATTCAGAAGACATTGCAGAGGGCTTTAACGAATTCTTTTCAAATATTGGGCCTGACTTAGCTAGCAAAATTGATACTTCGAATCACAATTTTCAAGAGTATATTAAGAAACCTAAATCAGAATTCACTGTATTTGAGTCAATTACCACCAACAAAGTTTATTATCTGCTACGTGGCCTCTCTAGTGCAAAAGCCACTGGCATTGACAAAATTTCAAGTAAAATTTTAAAACTAGCAGCACCTGCTATCTCCAGTTCATTAACTTATATTTTTAATCAGGCTATTACACTATGCACTTTTCCCGATGAATGGAAAATGGCAAGAGTATCACCTCTTTATAAAAATGGCCAAAAAAATTTGCCTGGTAACTACCGACCAATTTCTGTTTTGCCAGCTGTTAGCAAAGTTATGGAACGAATTTTATATGACCAACTATATGATTATTTGACGAAATTTGAGCTACTTAATGATTGTCAATTTGGCTTTCGCAAATCTCATTCAACTGCTACAGCGTTACTAGACTGTACTAATAGTTGGTATATGAATATTGACAAAAAATTATTTAACTTGGTTGTACTAATTGACTTAAAAAAGGCATTTGATACTGGACGTCGACCACCAGATTTTACTAAAAAAACTCGAAATTTATGGCGTAAAAGGAGATGCTTTGGCTCTATACTAAAATCGTACTTGATAACTCGCACTCAGAAATGCCAAGTTAATGGAACTATTTCATCGGAGCGGTTGATTAAGTGTGGCGTGCCACAAGGCTCTATTCTAGGGCCATTATTCTTTTTATTATATATTAATGACTTGCCTCAGTGTCTAAGCAAAACAAAACCTCGACTGTTTGCTGATGATACAAACCTAACAGCTGCGGGAGAATCTATAAATGATGTTGAAGCTGCAATGAATTCTGATTTAGAAAACTTTAGGAAATGGTTAATTGCCAATAAATTAAGTTTAAATGTGGCCAAAACAGAATTTATATTAATTGGATCTAAACCAATGATAACAAGTATTTCAAATAAACAACCAAACATTATCATAGAAAACAAACCAATTAAACAAGTATATGATTGCAAAACTCTTGGAGTGACTGTTGACCAGCATTTGTCTTGCAAGAATAATACTGAAACAATTTGCAAGAAAATAACATCCGGGATATCAGCTCTTCGTCAAATAAAAGAATTTGTTGAGAAAGATACACTTGTCTCTGTGTATAATTCTATTGTTCGCTTATACTTTACATATTGCTGTGAAGTATGGGATGTGTTTGGTGAAACACAATCAAATGCCTCGGGCAAAAGCTCCAAAACAGAGCTGCTCGAATCATAATGAATATGAGCAATGATGTAGATCATCTGGTTGCTTTAGATGGAAAGAATAAAGGCTAAGTCCAAACTGATGTTTAAATTGTTGAATAAAATGGGTCCTAAATCACTTACTGATTTATTTACTTTCAAAAGTGAAATGACAAATTATAAACTTCGAGATGTGGAAAGTACTCTTTGCTTACCACAGCCGCGTACAAATAGCTTGAAAAAAGTTTCATGTTTGACGGGGCACACATTTGGAATTCTTTACCAACCGAAATTAGAGAGAGCAACTCCATCATGTCCTTTGAAACTAAAATCGCTACTCACATTTTTGAATACTCACATTTTTGAATAGCATTATTATTCTTATACTTATATAATTATGTATATATATATATATATATTTCTTACTGTATGTAATATCTTACTATATACTATATCTTTGTAATTTTATTATTGTACACGCCCCTTGTGGAAATCAGCCTAGGTTGACAATGGTTAGCGTGTTTAAATAAAAGTTTCTATCTATCTATCTACTCATGTGAAAAGAGTGAGTCAACGCTCTGCCGAAAGTCGTGGATTTTGTCCGGTTTCCTCCCGCAGGGAAAGTTGACAGGGTAGGTTGGGATTATCTCCCTAACTGACCTTCCACCGTAGCTGTGCTCCGTGATCAGACATGAGTTATAAGGTGGATGCAATAGGCGTCCTTAGAAAACCTTCAACTCGATCAGGTTGAGCTGCGTCCCTCGTAATTCAGCTTAGCTCTCAGCTGCAAGTAAGGATGATTAGCACTCCCCACTTGCTTACTTTCTTGTTTGCTTGTGTAATTTTCCCTACCCCTGTTTACTATCTTCCCTACGAAGGACCTTCTCTCGAAACGTCCAGGTAGTTGCATCACTATCAATCCAAAGCTTTCTTAAGGTAGCTCACATTGAAGAATGTGTACTAACTCTCTATGAGCTCACCATATTCAATTCTAATTGCTGTGTTCATTTCTTGACGTCTGAAGATATTTTAAATTTTATTGTCAACCCACCAAGTGATACAGTCGAGCTTGTGATGGAAGTGACAGACAAAACGAGAGCTGATGTGAAGGTTTGTCAAACATTCTCTTATAAACCACTCATCTCCTGATGTGAAGGTTTGTCAAACATTCTCTTGTTAACCACTCATCTCGTACAGTTGTTGAAACACTTGATCGACTTTCTTTGCTAGGGTGGAACCTTGATTGAATATGAAAACAAAGTTCGATTACTGGAAATTGCTCAAGTTCCAAAACATCATGTATGCTTTTATTTTCTCACATTATGCTTTAAATCATGTTTAATAGTTGCTCTGTAGCTTAGGTTTAGTGCTAATTTTCATTATTTATGTTTGCTTTAATTGGCGTTCAATTTAATTAGTGTTCGCTGTAATTAGCGTGTGGTTTAATTAGAGTTCGATTTAATTAGCGTTTGCTTTAATTAGAGTTCGATTTAATTTGTGTTTGCTTTAATTAGAGTTCGATTTAATTAGCGTTTGCTTTAATTAGCGTTTGATTTAATTAGCGTTTGCTTTAATTAGCGTTTGATTTAATTAGCGTTTGCTTTAATTAGAGTTCGATTTAGTTAGAGTTCGATTTAATTAGCGTTCGCTTTATTAGCATTAATATTTATTTTCTATCCAGGTAGATGAATTTAAATCCGTTTCCAAATTCAGGTAAGAAACTGCGCTCAGAAAGTTTCGAAATTCTGGTAAGAAACTGCGCTCAGAAAGTTTAGAAATTCAGGTAAGAAACTGCGCTCAGAAACTTTAGAAATTCAGGTAACCACAGATCAATCAAGATCTTGCAAAAACTACATTGACTTGGTTTGTTTTAGGATATTCAACACGAACAACCTGTGGGTAAGGTTGGCTGCAATCCAACGTTTACTCGATGCAAAGAAAATGCACATGGAAGTGATTGTCAACAACAAGGTAAATATAATGATATTGAATACAAAGACTGTTACAACCATGTTCTGCCCCTGAAAATTTTGAAAATTGGTGTCGCGGACTGCCAAAAACGCATCGCCATACAACATGTGTTACATCTTTTTTCTGTGTTGGTGTAATGCACTCAGGTGAATATGATGCTTGTGATATTACTCTGAGTGTACATGACCGCGTAGCTCAGTTGGCAGAGCATTGGGCTAGTATTCCAAAGGTCGTAGGTTCCATTCCCACCGTGGACAGGCATATTTTTCAAGCTTGCCCAGGGTGGATATACACTCATTTTATACATTTATAAACTATTGCACTATTAAGATGGATGCACTTACAATTGCATTACTGAGGTAACATTCTTTCTATTGGTTAGAATTTTTCCTCTGAACTTCTTATATCTAATTCATTACAATTATCTTTTTTTCTTTCTTGGGGAAATATTTCCTGGGACCAATGGACCACCCTGCGCATGATGTTGATTTTCTTGGTGTTTTGCTCATGTGTTCATCATTTTCAATTCAGAATCTTGAGAATGGTTACAATGTTATACAGTTGGAGACAGCGGTTGGCGCTGCAATCAAGAATTTTGATGGAGCACTAGGTAGGGTACAAGTGAAGTACACATCAATCTTTGGCTTCTTTTTGCAATTGCCTTCATCGAATCTAAAAGAGAAAAGAAAAATAGTTCTCAATGTTTCAAGCTAAGGCCATTTTACTATTAAAGGCCGATTTACACTAGACAACTTTTTCCTAAAACTGTCGCATGCAACCTGCTTACAACTTGAGTTGTACTGTGTAAATCAAACACACCACTCGTTTACGTTGTCGTAGGTAAGTTGTGTGCTTGCTAAACTTTACAGAATACAACTCGAGTTGTAAGCAGGTCACATGCGACAGTTTTAGGCAGAAGTTGTGTACTGTAAATTGGCCTTAATGATAATTCGTGTTTCTTGCAGGAATCAATGTTCCCCGAAGCAGATTTCTTCCAGTGAAGAAAATTTCAGATCTTCTGTTAGTGAAGTCTAACCTGTACATAACAAATGAAGCTGGTGCTCTCATGATGAGTCCCAAACGACAGTTTGCAACGACACCTTTAATACAGCTCGTGGCCCCTACTTTCGGAAGGTAAACAGAAATTATTTTGTGGAAACACTATGTTTATTGATTTGTGATCTAACAAGGTAATGTGACGAAGATCCTGGCTAATGGGTCGAAAACTTGGTGAAGTAAACAAATTATTCAAACGAAATCAAATCAACAAACCTGAAGGTAGTACAAGCGAGGACCTCGTTCGTGCACATACATGCCTCTTATTTATCATCAACATGCACTTCATTATACACCATCCACTTTCACGTCTTGGAAACATGACACGTACTTACGACCAAATTATTTTATTTAGGTGCACAGTTTCATCGAGAGATTTCAAACCATTCCTGACATCCTGGAGTTAGATCATCTCACAGTGTCTGGTGACGTCACATTTGGGAAAGGTGTTACATTAAAGGTCAGTGAAGTGGTATAAATGAACAACATACAAAACTCGATAACACAACATTTACATGCTTGATGGCAACCGTAATTTTGACATTAATATATAGTGACTTTCCAACAAATTCAGAAATATATTTTGTTCTTCAAGTGTTACATATGGCTTGGAAAAAATTATTTCGGATTACCCGCCTTTAGGAAACATGGCTAGGAAACAATGTTTCCTGGTTTGCCCGCCTTGAAGAAGCATAGCTAGGAAGGAATGTTTCCTGGTTTGCCCGCCTTGAAGAAGCATAGCTAGGAAGGAATGTTTCCTAGTTTGCCCCGCCTTGAAGAAGCATAGCTAGGAAGAAATATTTCTTGGTTTGCCCACCTAAAAACATAGCTAGGAAACAATGTTCCCCGGTTTTCCCGCCTTCTGAACTTTCTGAAACATTAAGGAGCTTAAGATACACCAAATCTACGACGCGGACGTGACGAAAAACTGCCGCTATTATCACAGTTTCACTTCACGGGTAAAACGATGGATTGTTGTTGGTAAACAAAGCCAGGGACACGAGAAAAACAAAGTAAAACTAGTCTCCCATTAGTTAGCGACTGTTTTTAGTTGCAGATTTGGTGGATCTTGAGCTTCCTATTGTCCACGTAGAAAGTTTATTGTCCACCGGGTTATATTTCTATGATGAAAATGTAGATTCTCTGTAATAAATATTTCGTGCAAATCACTAAACATGTGAATACTCTAGGGTACGGTGATCATCATTGCGAATCATGGTGAGAGGATAGACGGGATGGCTGGAGCACTTCTAGAAAATAAAATAGTTTCTGGAAATCTGAGAATTTTGGATCATTAATATGCAAGCTGTATCCAGTGGAAATCTCTCTTGACTTTGAAAACCTTATGTATAAAACTTATGTAGAAACAACATTTGAGGCGGTTTTACTGCCCGTCTCCTGCAGGCTTTTAATAATGTCTCAGAATAGATGTTCCTAGCCACGCTCTGAAAATTTAAAAATGGCGGACATACTTTTAGACATGCTTCCCAAATTGTTCAAAGTTATGTGTAGTACTTTCCTTTTGTCTAAGACTAAGATAGCAGCAGCCCAAAACGTTACAAATATGAAGAATTTCACACTGGTTTATAATGAGAATAATAACATAAATAATTTATAAAATCAACTCTTATTTTAATCAGTATTAATTTTATCACTTATACGACAGTCACCACACACTTCCAAACAGACTATCAAATATGTAAACTTTTGAAATGTAAAAAAATACTAATTTCAGCTCAAACGTTCTGTCAATTTTCTGAATGTCTTCTTTGCGGGGGCGGTGCTGCCCAAGAACGAGAACTTGTTGCATTCGCGCCATTAATTAAACATTGGAAAAGGTTAAAGTACAAAACGTTTCAAACAACCTCTAGCAGCGTTGCGTACTAGCGAAGTCATGATGAGCAGTAAAACCCATTATGTTTTAATTAAAGCAAATTATTTCAAGAGCAATTTTATTTGAACTTGACCAAAAAAAGAGATAATAGTTCGAGAACCTACAGATCGTAGAGTAAGATGAAATGCTTTTGTATCCTTAGTATAGGTAAGTATAGATTGATTCTGAAGATATATTATGATGTTACTGCCTGTTAGTTGTCATACACCCCCAGTACATTCCATGAACATGCCACTCGTCTGTGATATTGAAGGTCATATTTTGGAAAACGGAATAGCCATCCCGTATCTGGTAAAGCCTAGAGATGTACTGACAAAAAAGTTACTGTCTTACTAACTATTACTATATTACTACTCCTTTGACTTTGATTATAATTTACTAACGTTGACAATAAAAAATACGGTATTATTAAAAAATTATGTTTTGTTAACCATATTTTAAATTATTTCATTTCCGGAATGTTGGTAAACTTTGTTAGGCAACATTCTATCCCTGCAGTGGGGAGATAAGGGACACATTTATCACTTATTTACTGAGACCGAGGGAAACAGTGTGTTTAATGTTGGTAAACTTTGTTAGACAGCATTCTATCCCTGCAGTGGGGAGATAAGGGACACATTTATCACTTATTTACTGAGACCGAGGGAAACAGTGTGTTTAATGTTGGTAAACTTTTTAGACAGCATTCTATCCCTGCAGTGGGGAGATAAGGGACACATTTATCACTTATTTACATCGAGGGTCCACAAAACACACTGCTTTCCCGAGGTCTCAGTAAATAAGTGTTTTATTATATGTCAATAGTCAAAGAAACAACAAATTAAAGAACAAATGAACGTAAATACATGAAATATTTTACTGTTAAAACGTTATATTAAACACTGGCTACACTGCAGTTACTTAAAGCGAAAGTTTTAATTACGTACTAGGCATGTCCAAAGGTCGCATCTTCACGTCATGGCGCACGTGATTTTTTTTTGTTATTTGCCGGTCGATAACGTATTATCTCCCTCTCGCGCTGTTGCGAGGGAGACAGCCTAATTTCGTCACTCTCACGTGATATGCTTTCAACCAATAAAACACTAGAAAAATGCGACTTTGACTATTGATATGTAATAATAATATTTATTACACAAATGTAAAAAAGCTGTTGTATTTTGTATTTCAAACTCACTGAGAAAGAGATTATTTTGTATTAAGGTGGGAAAATTCAAACTTACGGGCCTGCATTGTCATAAACAATTACTTTTAATTAAGTGAACAATAGCTTTATGTTTTTATTGAATCCTCTTATAATAGAGCTCTCGGTTGACGTGACGATGAACCGACCATTTCTTGCATAAACCACAGTTAATATTAACTGTGCATAAACCAAGTCAAAGACAGAGATAATGAGGTGTATTTTTTTGCATATTGCTAACATTTTCTTTGGTTGCAAGGGAAACCATGGTATTTTCAGACACGCATTATGTACATTCTTCCACTAGCTTCCCACATTATCTACATTCTTCCACAAATCCCACCCGGAAGGGAGGAAGAGCGATGAGGAGAATTCTTATGTAGGGTGAAATCCAAAAATACTAGAATATTGAAGTAAAGTAATTTGTAACCTACTTGCATCGTTGACAGCATGGTATAGTGGTAAACACTGAGGCCATCATGAGCGAAAGTTGTGGACCATTCCCAGGTAAATTCCCGTAACTTTTCGTATAATTTTTTCTTCATTTCGTTTTGTCTTTATTTTTTCAAGAAGTCGCCAAATCGCTCCTCTTAACAGTTAATACTTATTATTATTATTATTATTATTAAAAATCTTATTTTACAACGGTTATCCTTCAACACACCTAGGTTATTGATTTCCAAGGAGCCGTTCACACTATACTAATCTAAATTTACAAATGGAAGCAATACATAATAATTACATAATGTTAAAGTTATAAAGATATCACACGTTAACTAAACACCTATTACTAGTTATAAAAGATATAAAACCATGCAAAACTGACTGGCCTTATTTACATTTAATGTTTAATACGATCAAGCGCAGCCTTGAATTGCCTAATTGTGGCATCACTTGTTTTTACACATCTCGGTAAATTATTCCATGTTTTAGCACCATTATAGCTAATGCTTTTTTTCATAAAATTTGTTTTAGGCTTTTGTAGAGTAAACTTATTTCCGTTGCTACGTAAATTATAATTAATGTTATTTTTAATTTCAAACAGGTTCATCAAATTCTCTGGTAATTCATTTCTCTTCGCTTTGTACATGAATACTAAACTATTTTTTTCCCAATGATCAATTATGGGTTTCCAATCTAGTTCCCTCAAAACTTCATTTGAAGGTGTCTCGTATGATCTGCCAGTTATGACCCTTGCTGCCCTGTTTTGCATTTTCTGCAACTTACTGATCAGCTGATCACTACAGTTGCTCCATACAAGGCTGCAATAGTCAAAATATGGAAATACTAACGCATTGTACACCTTAATCAAAGTTGTTTTGGGGATACAGTTCTTTATTCGTCGTAGCATACCTATACCTTTTGATACTTTGCCTGAAATAGCTTCAATTTGATTTTTCCAAAGTAGTTGCTCATCAATAATTATGCCCAATGATTTTGCGTGATTAACCCTTTTAATTTTTGTATCCCCAAATTCTAGGATCGGGTCAGTTTCAACAGTCGATAATCTCTGGTGTGAACCAATTAGCATATATTCTGTTTTATCTTTATTTAATGTCAATTTATTGGCCAACAACCAGTTGTGCATAAGCTCTAGGTCGGAATTTAATCGCCGTTGTAGTTCTTCTTTATTTAAGCTTGCAGTGGTTAGATTTGTGTTGTCGGCAAACATATTCGCTTTAGTATATTTTAAACAATTTGGCAAGTCGTTAATATAAAGAAGGAATAGCAGAGGACCCAAGTTAGATCCCTGGGGTACTCCACTACGAATTTTTTGCGGCTCTGAAATAGTTTTTCCAATCTTACACCTTTGGATTCTATTTGACAAGTATGATTTAAACCAATTTAGTTCAACCCCTTTTATGCCATAAAGTTCTAATTTTCGGAGTAGGATACTGTGGTCTACGCAATCAAATGCTTTCTTTAGGTCAAGAAAAACAACTCCATTAAGGTACCCTTTGTTCATATTTAAATACCATTCATTCGTAACAGATAGTAATGAAGTTTCTGTTGAATGCTTCTTTCTGAAACCTGATTGTTGGTTTACTAATATTTTATTACTTTCCAAATAGTTTGAAAGCTGATGAGATATAAGTTTTTCAAAAATCTTAGCAACCGCAGACAATACAGACACAGGTCTATAATTTGTGGGTTTACTTTTGCAATCCGATTTATAAATAGGGGAAACAATTGCTATTTTCATAGTCATCTGGAAAACTACCCGATAATATTGACTTATTGAATATTGTTGATAACGACTTAGCAATTACGTCAGCACAATCTTTCAATAGTTTAGCCGAGATTCTGTCATGTCCTGTAGCTTTATTTGCTTTAATAGTATATAACAGTTTAGAAACATCTGTTCCAGTTACTAACTGAAAACGGAAAATGCTGTTTAAGGGTTTTACATACGATTCTGGTATCTGGTTATGTTCCGGAAGATCTTTTGCTAATTTGGGTCCTATGTCTGTAAAAAAATTATTGAAAATATTTGCAATTTCTCCTGGTTCAGTTACTATATTCCCGTTATCTGAAGTTTGATTTATATTGGTGGATTTTACATTCCTATTTGTTAATTCATTAACTTTTTTCCACATTTTCTTTGGATTTGCCTCGCAATTACTAAATGCCTGAATGTAATAATTTGCTTTCGCATTTTTAACTATTTTAACCACTTCATTTCTAGCAAAATACTCATATTTTGATAATCTTTTGTATATTTAGACAATTTTGAGTCGATTTAACTGAACAACCCAATCAAGATAATTCTTATGCGGGGTGAAATCGAAAAACACTATCAACAGTACAGCAATAACCACAATATTGAAATGGTGTAATTTGTTCCCTGTTGACATCGTTGACATCATGGTATAGTGATAAACAACCTGGCCATCCTGAGCGAAATTTTTGGACCATTCCCAGGTAAAAGTCTCGTAACATTTCGTATAATTTTTTCTTTATTTTTTTTCCATTATTTTCACCAGAAGTCTTCAAATCGTTCCTCATAACAGCTTAATACTCATATTTTGATAATATTTTGTATAATTAAACAATTTTGAGTCCATTTAACCAACGACGACGAGGGCATGAACAACGATGTATAGCGATGAAGAGAATCTTATGTAGGGTGAAATCCAAAAAATCTACATACAGCTAGTACAACGGAAAATAGAATATTGAAGTATTGGCTACTGTGCTTTGTTACCCGTTTCATCGTTGACATCATGGCATAGTGGTAAACACCGAGGCCTTCATGAGCGAAGGTTGTGGACCATTCCAAGGTAAAACTCCGGTAACTTTTCGTATATTTTTTTCTTTATTTCTTTTTGTCTTTATTTTTCCAAGAAAGTCTCCAAATCGCTTCTCATAACAGCTTAATATACTCATATTTTGATAATATTTTGTATATTTAGACAATTTTGAGTCGATTTAACTGAACAACGCGATCAAGAAAATTCTAATGCAGGGTGAAATCGAAAAGACTATCTACAGTACAGCAATAAACACAATATTGAAATGATGTAATTTGTTCCCTGTTTCTATCGTTGACACCATGGTATTGTGATAAACACCGAGGCCATCATGAGCGAAAGTTGTGGACCATTCCCAGGTAAATTCCCGTAACTTTTCGTATAATTTTTTCTTCATTTCTTTTTGTCTTTATTTTTCAAAAAGTCTCCAAACCGCTCCTCTTAACAGTTAATACTCATATTTTGATAATCTTTTGTATATTTAGACAATTTTGAGTCGATTTAACTGAACAACCCAATCAAGAGAATTCGTATGCGGGGTGAAATCGAAAAACACGATCTACAGTACAGGAATAAACACAATATTGAAGTAACATAATTTGTAACCTGTTTCCATCGTTGAAATCATATTATAGTGGTAAACACCGAGTCCATCATGGGGAAAGTTGTGGACCACTCCCAGGTAAAAGTCTTGTAACTTTTCGTATAATTTTTTCTTTATTTCTTTTTGCCATTATTTTTCCCAAAAGTCTTCAAATCGTTCCTCATCACAGCCTAATACTCATATTTTGATAATATTTTCAATATTTGGACAAGTTTGAGTCGATTTAACTGAACAACGCGATGAAGAGAATTCTTGTGCAGGGTGAAATTGAAAAACACTAACTACAGTACAGCAATAAACAGTGGTAACACCGAGGCCGTCATGGGCGGATGTTGTGGACCATTCCCAGGTAAAAGTCTCGCAACTTTTCGTATAATTTATTCTTTATTTTTTTTGCCATTATTTTTTTCAAAAGTCTTCAAATCGTTCCTCATAACAGTTTACTACTCATATTTTGATAATATTTTGTATATTTAGACAATTTTGAGTCGATTTCACCAACGATGACGAGGGCATAAACAACGATGTATAGCGATGAAGAGAATCTTATGTAGGGTGAAATCCAAAAAATCTACATACAGCTAGTACAACGGAAAATAGAATATTGAAGTATTGGCTATTGTGCTTTGTTACCCGTTTCATCGTTGACATCATGGTATAGTGGTAAACACCGAGGCCATCATGAGCGAAGGTTGTGGACAATTCCAAGGTAAAACTCCCGTAACTTTTCGTATATTTTTATCTTTATTCCTTTTTGTCTTTATTTTTCCAAGAAATTCTCCAAATCGCTCCTCATAACAGCTTAATTAATACTCATATTTTGATAATATTTTGTATATTTAGACAATTTTGAGTCGATTTAACTGAACAATGCGATCAAGAAAATTCTAATGCAGGGTGAAATCGAAAAGACTATCTACAGTACAGCAATAAACACAATATTGAAGTAATGTAATCTGTAACCTGTTTCCATCGTTGATATCATGGTATAGTGGTAAACACCGAGGCCATCATGGGCGATAGTTGTTGACCATTCCCAGGTAAAAGTCCTGTAACTTTTCGTATATTTTTTTCTTCATTTTTTCCCATTATTTTCCCCAAAACTCTTCAAATCGTTCCTCATAACAGCTGAATACTCATATTTTGATAATATTTTGTATATTAGGACAAGTTTGAGTCGATTTAACCAAGGATGACGAGGGATGAACAAGGATGTAGAGCGCTGAAGAGAATTCTTCTGTAGGGTGAAATCGAAAAAATCTACATACACCTAGTACAACGCAAAACAGAGAATATTGAAGAATTGTAATATGTTTGCTGTTTACATTGTTGCCATCATGGTATAGTGGTAAACACTGAGGCCATCATGAGCGAAAGTTGTGGACCACTCTCAGGTAAAACTCTCGTAACTTTTCGTATATTTTTTCTTTATTTCTTTTTGCCATTATTTTTCCAAAAAGTCGCTAAATCGCCCCTCCTAACAGCTGAATACTCATATTTTGATAATTTTTTGTATATTAGGACAATTTTGAGTCGATTTAACCAAGGATGACGAGGGATGAACAAGGATGTAGAGCGCTGAAGAGAATTCTTCTGTAGGGTGAAATCGAAAAAATCTACATACAGCAATTCCAAGCAAAACAGAGAATATTGAAGAATTGTAATATGTTAGCTGTTTCCATCGTTGCCATCATGGTATAGTGGTAAAGACTGAGGCCATCATGGGCGAAAGTTATGGACCGTTCCCATGTAAAACTCTCGTAACTTTTCGTATAATTTTTTCTTTATTTCGTTTTGCCATTATTTTTTCCAAAAGTCTTTAAATCGCTCTTCATAACAGCTTAATACTCATATTTCGATAATATTTTGTAGATTTGGACAATTTTGAGTCGACTTAACCAACGATGACGAGGGCATTAACAACGATGTATAGCGATGAAGAGAATCGTATGTAAGATGAAATCCAGAAAATCTGCATATACATGCAGCTAGGTCAACGCAAAATAGAATATTGAAGTTTTGTAATATGTTAGCCCACCGGTTTCCATCATTGACATCATGGTATAGTGGTAAAGACTGAGGCCATCATGAGCGAAAGTTGTGGACCGTTTCCAGGTAAAACTCTCGTAACTTTTCGTATAATTTTTCTTTATTTCTTTTTGCCATTATTTTTCAAAAAGGTCTCTAAATACCCCTCCTAACAGCTGAATATTCATATTTTGTTCATTTTATGTTTATTAGGACAATTTTGAATCGATTTAACCAAGGATGACGAGGGATGAACAAGGATTTAGAGCGCTGAAGAGAATTCTTCTGTAGGTTGAAATCGAAAAAATCTACATACAGCTAGTACAACCCAAAACAGAGAATATTGAAGAATTGCAATATGTTAGCTGTCTACATTGTTGTCATCATGGTATAGTGGTAAAGACTGAGGCCATCATGAGCGAAGGTCGTGGACCGTTCCCAGGTAAAATTCTCGTAACTTTTCGTATAATTTTTTCTTTATTTCTTTTTGCCAGTATTTTTCCCAAAAGTCTTTAAATTGCTCTTTATAACAGCTTAATACTCATATTTTGATAATATTTTGTACAATTGGACAATTTTGAGTCGACTTAACCAACGATGACGAGGGCGTTCACAACGATGTAGAGCGATGAATAGAATCGTATGTAGGGTGAAATCCAATATATCTGCATATACATGCAGCTAGGTCAAAGCAAAATAGAATATTGAAGTTTTGTAATCTGTTAGCCTACCGGTTTTCATCGTTGCCATCATGGTATAGTGGTAAAGACTGAGGCCATCATGAGCGAAAATTCTGGACCGTTCCCAGGTAAAACTCTCGTAACTTTTCGTGTAATTTTTTCTTTATTTGTTTTCCCATTATTTTTTTAAAAAGTTTCTAAATCGCAACTCCTAACAGCTGAATATTCATTTTTAGATATTTTTTGTATATTAGAACAATTTTGAGTCGATTTAACCAAGGATGACGAGAGATGAACAAGGATGAACAACTCTGAAGAGAATTCTTGTCCAGGGTGAAATGCAAAAGATCTACATACATCAAGTAGAACTGAAAACAGAGAATATTGAACTATTGCAATATGTTAGCTGTTTCCATCGTTGCCATCATGGTATAGTGGTAAAAACTGAGGCCATCATGAGCGAAATTTGTGGACCGTTTCCAGGTAAAATTCCCGTAACTTTTCGTATAATTTTTCTTTATTTGTTTTTGCCATTATTTTTCCAAAAAAGTCTCTAAATCGCACCTTTTAACAGCTGAATATTCATTTTTAGATAATTTTTTCTATATTAGGACAATTTTGACTCGATTTAACCAAGGATGACGAGAGATGAACAAGGATGAACAACTCTGAAGAGAATTCTTGTCCAGGGTGAAATGCAAAAAATCTACATACATCAAGTAGAACTGAAAACAGAGAATATTGAACTATTGCAATATGTTAGCTGTTTCCATCGTTGCCATCATGGTATAGTTGTAAAGACTGAGGCCATCATGAGCAAAAGTTGTGGACCGTTTCAAGGTAAAACTCTCGTAACGTTTCGTATAATTTTTTCTTTATTTCTTTTTGCCATTATTTTTCCAAAAAAGTCTCTAAATCGCACCTCCTAACAGCTGAATATTCATTTTTAGATATTTTTTTGTATATTAGGACTATTTTGAGTCGATTTAACCAAGGATGACGAGAGATGAACAAGGATGAACAACTCTGAAGAGAATTCTTGTCCAGGGTGAAATGCAAAAAATCTACATACATCAAGTAGAACTGAAAACAGAGAATATTGAACTATTGCAATGCGTTAGCTATTTCCATCGTTGTCATCATGGTATAGTGGTAAAGACTGAGGCCATCATGAGCGAAAGTTGTGGACCGTTTCTAGGTAAAATTCTCGTAACTTTTCGTATAATTTTTCTTTATGCCATTATTTTTCCAAAAAAGTCTCTAAATCGCACCTCCTAACAGCTGAATATTCATTTTCAGATATTTTTTTGTATATTAGGACAATTTTGAGTCCATTTAACCAAGGATGACGAGAGATGAACAAGGATGAACAACTCTGAAGAGAATTCTTGTCCAGGGTGAAATGCAAAAAATCTACATACATCAAGTAGAACTGAAAACAGAGAATATTGAACTATTGCAATGTGTTAGCTATTTCCATCGTTGCCATCATGGTATAGTGGTAAAGACTGAGGCCATCATGAGCGAAAGTTGTGGACCGTTTCCAGGTAAAACTCTCGTAACTTTTCGTATACTTTTTTCTTTATTTCTTTTTGCCATTATTTTTCCAAAAAAGTCTCTAAATCGCACCTCCTAACAGCTGAATATTCATTTTTAGATATTTTTTGTATATTAAGACAATTTTGAGTCGATTTAACCAAGGATGACGAGAGATGAACAAGGATGAACAACACTGAAGAGAATTCTTGTCCAGGGTGAAATGCAAAAAATATACATACATCAAGTAGAACTGAAAACAGAGAATATTGAACTATTGCAATGTGTTAGCTGTTTCCATCGTTGCCATCATGGTATAGTGGTAAAGACTGAGGCCATCATGAGCGAAATTTGTGGACCGTTTCCAGGTAAAATTCCCTTAACTTTTCGTATAATTTTTTTTATTTCTTTTTGCCATTATTTTTCCAAAAAATTCTCTAAATCGCACCTCCTAACATCTGAATATTTATTTTTAGATATTTTTTTGTATATTAGGACAATTTTGAGTCCATTTAACCAAGGATGACGAGAGATGAACAAGGATGAACAACTCTGAAGAGAATTCTTGTCCAGGGTGAAATGCAAAAGATCTACATACATCAAGTAGAACTGAAAACAGAGAATATTGAACTATTGCAATATGTTAGCTGTTTCCATCGTTGCCATCATGGTATAGTGGTAAAAACTGAGGCCATCATGAGCGAAATTTGTGGACCGTTTCCAGGTAAAATTCCCGTAACTTTTCGTATAATTTTTCTTTATTTGTTTTTGCCATTATTTTTCCAAAAAAGTCTCTAAATCGCACCTTTTAACAGCTGAATATTCATTTTTAGATAATTTTTTCTATATTAGGACAATTTTGACTCGATTTAACCAAGGATGACGAGAGATGAACAAGGATGAACAACTCTGAAGAGAATTCTTGTCCAGGGTGAAATGCAAAAAGTCTACATACATCACGTAGAACTGAAAACAGAGAATATTGAACTATTGCAATATGTTAGCTGTTTCCATCGTTGCCATCATGGTATAGTGGTAAAGACTGAGGCCATCATGAGCGAACTTTGTGGACCGTTTCCAGGTAAAATTCTCGTAACTTTTCGTATAATTTTTCTTTATTTGTTTTTGCCATTATTTTTCCAAAAATGTCTCTAAATCGCACCTTTTAACAGCTGAATATTCATTTTTAGATATTTTTTTGTATATTAGGACAATTTTGAGTCGATTTAACCAAGGATGACGAGAGATGAACAAGGATGAACAACTCTGAAGAGAATTCTTGTCCAGGGTGAAATGCAAAAAGTCTACATACATCACGTAGAACTGAAAACAGAGAATATTGAACTATTGCAATATGTTAGCTGTTTCCATCGTTGCCATCATGGTATAGTGGTAAAGACTGAGGCCATCATGAGCGAACGTTGTGGACCGTCTCCAGGTAAGACTCTCGTAACTTTTCGTATAATTTTTCTTTATTTCTTTTTGCCATTATTTTTCGAAACATGTCTCTAAATCGCACCTCCTAACAGCTGAATATTCATTTTTAGATATTTTTTTGTATATTAGGACAATTTTGAGTCGATTTAACCAAGGATGACGAGAGATGAACAAGGATGAACAACTCTGAAGAGAATTCTTGTCCAGGGTGAAATGCAAAAAATCTACATACATCAAGTAGAACTGAAAACAAAGAATATTGAACTATTGCAATATGTTACCTGTTTCCATCGTTGCCATCATGGTCTAGTGGTAAAGACTGAGGCCATCATGGTCTAGTGGTAAAGACTGAGGCCATCATGAGCGAATGTTGTGGACCGTCTCCAGGTAAGACTCTCGTAATGTCAAAATGTGCTTAAAAATTTTCCTGAGCGAAAACTTTCTTCATCATTATGCCTTTTGGACATTTCTAAGTCGGTCCATGACGGAAAAGTTTATTCGATCAGCTCGAAATTTTCTAAGTCCCAAACTTTAGTTGACTCAAGAATGATTCCACGGGTAACGGTTAAGCGTAATACTATTTGTAATGTAGGACGGGTAAAGATTCATTTGCATATACCTATACTGTCTGAAAGTTTATATGTGAAAATGTTCTTCAAAATTTTCCTGAGCGAAAACTTTCTTCATCATTATGCCTTTTGGACATTTCTAAGTCGGTCCAAGACGAAAAAATTTATTCGATCAGCTGAAAATTTTCTAAGTCCCAAATTTTAGTTGACTCAAGATTGATCCCACGGGTAACGGGTAAGCGTAATACTATTTATTATGTAGGACGGGTAAGGATTCATTTGCATATACGTATACTGTCTGAAAGTTTATATGTCAAAATGTGCTTAAAAAATTTCCTGAGCGAAAACTTTCTTCATCATTATGCCTTTTGGACATTTCTAAGTCGGTCCAAGACGAAAAAATTTATTCGATCAGCTGAAAATTTTCTAAGTCCCAAACTTTAGTTGACTCAAGATTGATCCCACGGGTACCGGGTAAGCGTAATTCTATTTATAATGTAGGACGGGTAAGGATTCATTTGCATATACGTATACTGTCTGAAAGTTTATATGTCAAAATGTGCTTCAAAATTTTCCTGAGCCAAAACTTTCTTCATCATTATGCCTTTTGGACATTTCTAAGTCGGTCGAAGACGAAAAAATTTATTCGATCAGCTGAAAATTTTCTAAGTCCCAAACTTTAGTTGACTCAAGATTGATCCCACGGGTAACGGGTAAGCGTAATACTATTTATAATGTAGGACGGGTAAGGATTCATTTGCATATACGTATACTGTCTGAAATTTTATATGTGAAAATGTGCTTCAAAATTTCCTGAGCCAAAACTTTCTTCATCATTATGCCTTTTGGACATTTCTAAGTCGGTCCAAGACGAAAAAATTTATTCGATCACCTGAAAATTTTCTAAATCCCAAACTTTAGTTAACTCAAGATTGATCCCACGGGTAAAGGGTAAGCGTAATACTATTTATTATGTAGGACGGGTAAGGATTCATTTGCATATACGTATACTGTCTGAAAGTTTATATGTCAAAATGTGCTTCAAAATTTTCCTGAGCGAAAACTTTCTTCATCATTATGCCCTTTGGACATTTCTAAGTCGGTCCAAGACGAAAAAATTTATTCGATCAGCTGAAAATTTTCTAAGTCCCAAACTTTAGTTAACTCAAGATTGATCCCACGGGTAACGGGTAAGCGTAATACTATTTATTATGTAGGACGGGTAAGGATTCATTTGCATATACGCATACTGTCTGAAAGTTTATATGTCAAAATGTGCTTCAAAATTTTCCTGAGAGAAAACTTTCTTCATCATTATTCCTTTTGGACATTTTTAAGTCGGTCCAAGACGAAAAAATTTATTCGATCAGCTGAAAATTTTCTAAGTCCCGAATTTTAGTTGACTCAAGATTGATCCCACGGGTAACGGGTAAGCGTAATACTATTTATAATGTAGAACGGGTAAGGATTCATTTGCATATACGTATACTGTCTGAAAGTTTATATGTCAAAATGTGCTTCAAAATTTTCCTGAGCGAAAACTTTCTTCATCATTATGCCCTTTGGACATTTCTAAGTCGGTCCAAGACGAAAAAATTTATTCGATCAGCTGAAAATTTTCTAAGTCCCGAATTTTAGTTGACTCAAGATTGATCCCACGGGTAACGGGTAAGCGTAATACTATTTATTATGTAGGACGGGTAAGGATTCATTTGCATATACGTATACTGTCTGAAAGTTTATATGTCAAAATGTGCTTCAAAATTTTCCTGAGCGAAAACTTTCTTCATCATTATGCCTTTTGGACATATCTAAGTCGGTCGAAGACGAAAAATTTTTTTCGATCAGATGAAAATTTTCTAAGTCCCGAACTTTAGTTGACTCAAGATTGATCCCACGGGTAACGGGTAAGCGTAATACTATTTATAATGTAGGACGGGTAAGGATTCATTTGCATATACGTATACTGTCTGAAAGTTTTTATGTCAAAATGTGCTTCAAAATTTTCCGGGGCGAAAACTTCCTTCGTCATTATGCTTTTGGACATTTCTAAGTTGGTCCATGACGAAAAAGTTTATTCGATCAGCTCGAAATTTTCTCAGTCCCAAACTTTAGTTGACTCAAGATTGATCCCACTGGTAACGGGTAAGCGTAATACTATTTATAATGTAGGACGGGTAAGGATTCATTTGCATATACGTATACTGTCTGAAAGTTTATATGTCAAAATGTGCTTCAAAATTTTCCTGAGCGAAAACTTTCTTCACCATTATGCCTTTTGGACATTTCTAATTAGGTCCATGACGAAAAAGTTTAGTCGATCAGCTCGAAATTTTCTGAGTCCCAAACTTTAGTTGACTCAAGATTGATCCCAAGGGTAGCGGGTAAGCGTAATACTATTTATAATGTAGGACGGGTTAGGATTCATTTGCATATACGTATACTGTCTGAAAGTTTATATGTCAAAATGTGCTTCAAAATTTTCTTGAGCCAAAACTTTCTTCATCATTATGCTTTTTGGACATTTCTAAGTCGGTCCAAGACGGAAAAATATATTCGATCAGCTGAAAATTTTCTAAGTCCCAAACTTTAGTTGACTCAAGATTGAT